TTCATATTTAATTATTTTTAGTATATTTATTTATATACGAATGTTTTTTTAATAATAAATTAATTGAAATACTTATGTATTTTAATGAAAATTAAAAAAAAAATTACACTTAAATTTTTTATTTGATGCAATTTCAAAATAATTAATTACACTTAATCATCAGTAATGAAAGTCACATTATTTTGCATAATTATAGGGTCACGGTGTATGATATTTCTATATGTACATATGTATTCTATATACGTATATAGCAAAAAAGTAATTTATGAATTAAGCATCGCGCAATTATACAACTAAAAATCGTTAAAATATGTTGAGTTGTTATAAAAATTATAAATTATTGCGATAATTTTTATTAAGGTAGTTATTAATTTATCAATATTAAAAAATTTTTCAAGCGTGTTAGTATATATGTATGTAATTGTTAATTATTGATGTGAATCATAATTATAATTTATACTATTAATATTAATAAAATTTTTTAAAAATTATATTCATTTTATAGAGACATTTAATAATAACAATATAAGATAGGAAACTATTGTAATTTTGTGAAAGTGTGTTATAGTTTATCAAATAAGATTTTTAATACCCTAGAGACTATTTAAATTTTAAAATTGGTTTTCGTTATACCCTACACTATGTGCATATATTATTTAATAAATATTGTATAAAGCAAATTTTTTATTTTGAAATCTAAAAGGATAAATTAATTTTGAGTGCAAAATTGCAGATTTTTTTCGATTATTGAAATTTTTTTTTAAAATTATTGATATTATAAGTTTATGTACATATTTTCTTTCTTAAATCAAAAAATATTATTCGTTTTTTACATTTATGTATTTTCTTTTCGGTTTTGTTCTAAATTTATTACCCGACGACAAAAGAACGTTTTAATGAAACCCTAAAAATTAAAAAAAAAATGTTTATCGATTTCAATTTATTTGTGCGTATATATATTAATATATTTATAGAATTTGTAATGTTATTTTATAAATACATATACATATTATGTACATACTGCTTATAAAAAATATTTACAAGAATTATACAATTTTCTGAAACACCTATTATAATAAAATAAAACATTCATTCTTATTAAGGAAATCTTTTATAATAAGTAATCTTTAAATTTTATACCTAAAAACAGTGTTTAAATCTATTTGCAATGAAAATTCTTCAAATGGAAAATATTTAATTTAAAATTTTAAAAAAATAACTAAAAAATATTATAAGCTTTGAGTACATAATAAAGGCTCGCCAACAATATTTGGCCAGCTTTCCGACTGATGCCGGTTACCAAAGATCAAAATCTCCGGTACCTAAAGCTAATCGCCAATAGTTGATGTTATCAGTGTTTCTTTGAACAGAAAAATTAATACGAATTTTGAATAATATACTAATTTTCATTGATTTTTAATAGTTTTGTTGTTTAAGAATTTTAATGGCCAAATATCTTTTAATACATTATGGTTAAATAAATCATAACACTGGCTAATACCTTTGAAAGCGTTCTTTATCGAAATTTTCATATTTTTGAAATTTTTGCAACACTCAAAAATGCATTTCTAATTTAAATATTTTAGATTTCCCTATCAGAATTACACAATCTGAGTTAATACAATGATAAATTTTATACTAGTGCAACACTTAAAATTTAAAAATCCGTGTATATAATATGATCATTGCTCTGTGAAGCTATTCGTTTTCTCATCATATATGTAATATCATTTTGTTGTTAATAGAACACGATAATGGAAAATGTTATATGGAAACAGTAATATACGAAAATATCCGAAATTTTATTTTTAATATATGTATAATGTATACACTGATAATTTGATAGAAAAAATTTATTCTCTTTAAATAATAATTAATGTCCTCAATTAATTACGTATGAAATATATACGTAATTCGTTTTTTATCACAGAGTTAGTTTGAAAAATTTCCATAACAAGTATTTGAACAATGTTTTATTGTATTTTATTCTATGTAAGTACTCGTATATGTAGATATTGATTGTTTTGATAATTTTCCAAGCTAAAAAAGAATTACAATGCAAGCACTTTGATCTTATTTCAAAATTGTTATTAAATTTCCACTTGCTTTCTACACTGTTTTTTTTTTTGAAGCAATAAACATTTACAAACACACTTAGTTGAAATTAAAATAATAATATATAGCTACTAACTATATTAAAGTATAAATAAAATTTGTATAATAAGTGGAAATTTCAAAGATAAGAAATATATTTTATAGATAATTATAATAGATATATTTCAGTTTTATATGTATATAAATAAGTATATAAAATGAAAATATAGAAAAATCACAAAAATTTTTTTTTATGACGCACAACATTTTCAATAAAAACAAAAAATAAAGAAATTAATAACAAGTAAAAACATTTCAGTCGGTATAAACCGATTGAATTATACCCTGCACCTTTCATTGTTGTATAGGAATTACTCGAACCTGTGAAACCATTCTATAGAAACTTTACTGATATGTTTGACCTATAATTGGACATACGACTGCCAAGTTTCATGAATATAAAAATGTATTGCCGAATATTATATAGGGTAGCCATCAGAACCCATGCTGCCATCCCATTAAAATTTTTGGAGCGTATGTAGAATGTAATTGGACGCACATATACAAAAACTCTTTGAGTTGTATCGCAGCTACCCGAACCCGTTGTTCAAATTAGTCCAATTACAATAGGATTCGTCCTTGGTACAAAAGAAACAACTTGTTAAAATTTGGTGTGGATTGCATTATTCCTTTTTGAGTTATCGTGCGATCGGACGGACGGACATGTCTAAATTAACGCAGAATTTTACGCTGAGCAAGAATATGTCTAGAATATATATATATATGTCCATACCGCAGATGATTCGTTCAAGTAGTTACAAACTCCATATACCAAAGTTAATATACCCTTCACGAAGTGCAGGGTATAAAAACCGCAAAATATGAATGTGTGTGCCTTAATAGAAAAATATTAAAAAATTTAAGTTGAGAAACTTGGTACTTATTTTTATTTTTAATATACACATTAAAAATATAATATATGTATATTATGTACGTATACATAAATCTTGTATTAAAAATATTTCTTATTATTCACAGCATCTATTGTTGTGCATATGTGCATTTATTACCGGCAATAATATATATGTATATAAAATTTTAATAGCTGTAACAAATTTATATCATATTTACATACATATAATATGTTATAGAAAATTACGATTACAAGAAAATACTTGACTATAAAGTTAAAAATTAATGTTATGTTAAAAAAGGGCGACAACACTGTTAATTCTCCTTCAGACTCAAAATTTAAAATTTTTTATAAAATTTGCGGATATAAAAAATTTCAAATTCTTTGAATTTGTTTCATTTACTGCGAATTGCATGCATGCAATGAATCCAGTTTAAAATCTATTATTGCAGTATAATAATATGATGGAAATTACGTTTAGTACGTTACAGACAAAAAAAAAAAGTTATTCTTTTTCACAGTCTTAAAAATTATTTCCATATAAAACCTTTTATTTAATCAAAATTCAAAAATAATTATGTAATTCAAATCAGTGCATTTTTTATTTTAGCATTAGAAATAATTGTACCTAGCAAAGTTAATTTACAAAATTTTCACTTTATAATTGTTTAGCATAATTTTTTTGCCGGCAAAATATTTATATTTATTACATACACGAATAATTACATTCATTCATATTAATATTAATCTATTTATGTATATACATAAACACAATTTATAAGCTCGTAGTTGCTTTTCCTTATTTTCAAATATGTATAAAGAATTTTACTTTACTATATGTTTGAAATAAACTTGAAAAATATTGCTTTATTAGTCTATATTAATGTGAATAAAAATAACATACTTATTATAGGCATAACCTTTAAAAAATTCATTTTCAATATTTTAAAAACCGGTATGAAAATAAAATCAGGATATAATTTTTTTTTCCATATTTCAATTTCGTTCAATTTCATTTATAAGGCTTTACTACGTATACAAAGTAGAATTCAGTATAAAAATCGCATTAAATACAGGTGTATAACAGTGCACATGCACTTATCATATAAAAATTTCTTATACTCTTTAACTACAACAATGCACGATCCTTTTCTTATAAGTTATTTCCTTATTATGATTTTTTATATTTGGAAACAAAAATTGAGAATTATTGTTATACTACTATGTGTATAATTTACAATAACCTTGAAAATTTCTTAAAAAAGGTGAAACTAATATTATGCTTCGTTTCTTATATTTAATTTAATAGAAATATTATTTTTTATCACATTCATTATATATGTAAGTATGTGTTTGGATGTGTTAAGTTTATTCTGTTATTTTTTTTTTTTGGCAAATTTTATAAAGAAGAATATTATGGAAAATTTTAAAAGCGGTATTTTCTCTAAAAAAGAAAAGAAATTCGCAATTTATTATGCACATAATTAAATTATATTTTTATTTTTGTAATTTATTATACTTTTTTGCTATATTACCAACTCTATTATTATAATTCATATTCAATTATAAGTGTGTTTATTATCTATATTATTTTTTTTTAAATTTTATAACATTACTCAATATTTTATTTCTATGTCATAATCTTAATCCCAAACCGCATTTTTATCATTGATTCCAAAGTCTTTTCTTTCTAAAGAAAAAAGTAACCTACTAATATTTTGTAGTATATATGTAAGTATGTTTATATACACATAATATGTAAGTATATGCATAAGTATATTACAAATAATTTTTATTTTGATTTAATTAGAACTTTTTGAAAATTTTAATAATTATAAGCATAACATATATGTATGTACATATATAATATGCTTTTCAACTTTATTTGTGATTGGAAAAATTAATAATAACTTTTATTGAATATAACATTATAAAATAATAAAATATACTTAATATGTGTTTTTAGTATTGATTTTAAAACTATTGCACTTACTAAATTGTTCTTTGAATGACGACACAGAAATTATACAATAATAAAAAATATCATGTATAAGTATAATTTTTTTTCCTTCTATTTAAATTTTTGCTTTTTTTTTTAGAAATAAATTTTTTTTTTATTTTTGTTTTCTAAATATATTTTAAAATCTATTAAAAGTATAGTTTATAAATATTTGCTTAAATAATTATTAGCAAAACTCAGGAAAAAAAAAATAATATTTAATTATTTATTTCAATATAGTAAATTTATTATATAAAATACGTGCTTGTAAAAATTATTCATAAAAAAACAAAGAAAAACAAAATCTTAAAGAAAAAGAAATTAAAAATAAAAAAAACGACGGTATATGATTAATTTTGTAGAAGTACGAATACCCGACCCGAACACTTCTGAATTCTAAGGCAATCAATGAATAACTGAATGTTTATTGTTCAATATATTCATTCTAAAATAATGTGATGAAGGTGAAATACACAAACAAATAATTATTTATACACTAAAAAGTTGTTCTAATCAACTTTAGGATATTTAGTTGTTCTAATAAATTTTAGGATATTTTTATAACGTTTTGGTATTATAAAAAATTATACATAATTATATTGGATTTAGCATTTCGTTTTCAGTATAACATAAGGATTTGGAAACTATATGCTTCGCAATACATGTATGTTATTGTAGTACATATATACCCATTTTTTTATATTTTAATTTTTTAAATCTATTTTGTGAAATTATTTTATTTTAAATATCGCAAGTTATATTTAGCATAATATTAAACCTTATTAATTTTAATTTCTTTAATGCGAGATTGTGTATCTCGATTTTTCAGTCTTCTTCATTATTCACTTTCAAATCAAAATTTTCATATTTTTTAACTGGATATATGCAAGTACGAGTATGTTAATCAGTTTTTCAATAATGTTTTTTTAATTAAACAAACTGCATGAATGGTAACTAAATTTTGTATGTGTACATTTTGGAAAAAACGAGATTTGCGATTGTAAATTTTAATACTTAAAAACTTTCTTCAACCTACTCTCGTACCAACTCTCGGGCCCATAATTTTAAAACAATCATTTAGTTTACTCAAAAATTGATTTTTTGAACTATTATTTATGAAAAACAAATTTTTGTGATTTTGAGCGACGTAAAGTTTAATCAATAGTCTAAACGTAAATATTGTATTATGATAAAATATAATATTTACAGATATAGTATTTCTGTATCGTACATAAACATAACGTAGATACAATTTAATTGAGCTATGCATATCATATGGAATATTGAGTATTAGGTTAGAGAATAGAGGGTGAAATGTTAAAGAGTGATTAGAGAATTTTATTATAAAACAAGAGACTTTATTTTGCAAATTGCAATGTTTTTTTTACAATATTTATGAGAATCAAAATGTTAGAAAGAGATATATGATAAATAGAAATTCTTATTAAAATAAAAAATAGAATACATTGTATAAAATTGCAAAAAATATATACATGTGAATATATTGTATTTATGCAGAATAAAGTAAAAACAAAAATTTGAATTAAAAAAAAATGAAAAATTATCACCTTTGAACTTGATAATGCTCTTTAATTAAACACAAGTACTCACTTGTAAATGTTTAATTACGGAAACAGAATTATCTTGTACTTGAACACACTTTTAAATACATGTGTATGGAATATAATAGTTTCAAATTGGAAAATTAAAGTTTAATATCAATTTTTACTAATAAATTGACTATGAAAGAAATGTTCTATTATTATCATATAATGACCATAAAGACCTATTTTTTTTTAAATTAAAAAATACTTTTGAAAAAAAATAAAATAAACTTTGGTTTTAGGTAGTTAAAAAATTTAGAACATTTGAGAAATGAAGCTGAAAAAGAGAAGAAAGCTCAATCAAGAATCATACAATTTGTAAAAATTAAAATTTCATTTATTTTTAGAGTTAATTATTACAATTTGTTTATATGTACATATACATATATATAGGTATTTATAATTAAAACAATCTTTTTATTTTTTTCTTTCATATTTAAATTGAAATACCGGGGCGGATGTCTTAGTGCCAGCTTTAATTTTTTTTGGTTTAAGTGATCTTTTTTGTCTTAAAGTTTTTTTCATTAGTAATTTATTTTGTACTATGCTTAACTCTTTTTCTCGAATTATTCTATTTTTCAATTCATTGTAAACTTTTAAAGTGTCGTTTGGTATTTCATCAATGTCTTCATCTTCAGTATCTTCTTCATCTTCGATTTTTTCCTTTTCAATAATTTTTTTTCTATTGGTTTTGTTTTTCAATGATTCAGAATCAACTCCTAAAACTTTTGCAGGATCAAAATTTTTAGCTTCCTCTTCATCATCAACAAAAAATATATGTTTATTCTTAAAATGATTTGCAGCATCTATCATATGATAATTTGCCTGGATTTTTTTAATTTTTTTCATTTCAATAACTCTTTTCATATTCACATAATTCAAATCTTGAGTTTGCATTAAAAGTTTCTGTTCTTTAGAATCAACATCTTTTTCTTCATCTTCCAATTCATGATGTTCACCATCTTTAATTTTAGATTTAATCATATGATGAAAAAATTCATCTTCATTTTTATTTAAAGCCTTTTTATGTAATTTATGAAGAATATCTTTTTTTGCGTTTGCATCTTTGGCTCTCTCCCTATAATCTTTCTTTTTTTCTAGCAAACCCAAATGACTTCTTTCATGGGGTTGATGTCGCTCTTTATGAATTCTTTGACCTGCTTTAGCGGCATTTTTCCAAGACATCTAAAAATATAATAAAATTAGTGTTCAATTAAATTTTATAACAAAAAATTAGTAATACCGAGTAGCTTTCTGTTACTATTTATTTGTTTATAATTTGCTTGTTAGTGTTTAAACTTTTAATTTCCGCAAGTTTTTTTTTATTTCTGAATTATTTATGCATGTTATGTTATATACATAGATACGTACATAAATTTTCATTTCATTTTCATTTCAATTTTGTTAGTATTTTTTTTTAAAGTGAAGCACTACTTAATTAGACATAAATGTGACTATGTATTTCAATAAACTTCTACTTATGTACATATATATTCTAAATTAGATTAATGTGCATATTTATATCTTCCAAATAACTATACTATCGAAATAAACATTACACACCACAGACTAAACTTACATTCGGATGTATATTAGATTTATTTTCAATAGATATATTGTCAACAAATGTAGGTACTTACATTTTATTAAATTAGCTGTACTTAAAATAATTATAGTTTTAATTTTACTTTTTATTTTCCTATTATTTTCTGACACACTATTTACTCATTTAAAATCAAATCAATGTTTTATTTTTATGTTAATTGTGCACGCATGTTATGTATATGACATTTCAGTTTAGACTTTATGTATGAACACTGTTGACATTCAACAACTGACAATAAAATAACAATGTTTTTTGGGTAGAGAAATCCAATTACTTTCCGTTGTTGTATTATTATAAAAACTGGAATTGAACTTCACAAAATTTAGAACAATTTTATTATTCTAATATAATGGCGTATTCTGAGTATGGGATTACTCAGACAGAGTAGTAATTATAGTTAAAAGTGGTTTAGATCTATAATAAACTTTTTGAAACTTGTGCGATAAATAACACTATTACTTAGCGATTTGATATACTCAGAATAAGCTACGATTTATCGCAATTGGGGTGATGCGATGTTGGACAAAATACCGCTATTTTTTGTTACAATTCGAAGATTTTCTCTCCTATTTAGATTGGAAAATAAAGCAAAACTTTTTTTTTTATTATTTTCCAATAGCTGTGAGAATTTTGTTAAAATAAACAAAATCGCTGATTGCTAAATGAAGAACGACAATCTGTTGATATTGTTGGAATAAATTTTTCTAGCACTCACCAACCTCTCGTTTATTTATGCTGATATTAATATATATTCTCGTAATATTATGCTGATGTTTCATGAACGGCTTACGATATTGCCTAGAAATATACAGATTGCGTAATGCAGAGCTTGCTAAAAATTTGTGCTTTAAAAAAAAACAGTTTAAAGAACAAAATGTGTTTGGATCTGGCAACATTAAGAAAATTATATTATAATTTTTCGATTGTCAGTTAAAGAGTTGACTTTTGGGGAAATCTTTTGTTATACATACTTATGTATTTATAAACGCTTTTTATTTTTTTTATATTGCTATATTTATTAAGGAAAAGGTTTAGCTGCCTCAAAATATAATATAATTATATCAATATATTTAAAATATTAATCAAATGAATGTGAGGTGGTATAGTAATTTATATTAATTGATATAGTATACAATAAAAAAACCTTCGAATACAATTATGTCTGCCTCAGAAGAAAAGCATGTTGAACAAACAGTGATCAATGACAATGTGGATATCTGTACGAATATTGAAAATAAATCTCCAGAAAGTATGATTGTCGATAGCATTCCAAATGATAGCGCTATTCCTGAAGTTAAGGTTATGGAAACAAATATAGAAGCAAAAATGCAAAATCATATGGAAGTGGAAATCAAAAAAGAAATTTTAGATATTCCAAACGATCAATGCCTGACTGGAGAGAAACAAGAAACAAGTGATATTACTCGTAATACAAGAAGAAATTTGGGGCCTAACAAAGAAATTATTGAAGAACCAGAACAAGGACCGGATCCACAAGGGTTTTTATCTGACTTATACGGAATTTTTTGTGGTCCACAATGTAAAGAAGGTAAATCTGTTATAAATATTATTAGTAATCTTATTAATAACACATTTTAGCAAAGGAAGATATTGAGTGGTTGGGTCCATTTAGCACGAACGCTTTATTTACTGAACATAAAGAAACTTCTGTGAGATCAGCAATTGCATTTCTATTAGGCTTTATACAAGAAAATTTTACTGGTCCGAGACGTGAGGAAGGTTATGAAGAACTTATGGAAAGAATACCTACCAATCTTATAAAACTTGTCCTACGTAGTGATGGCGAGGAGCTAAATGTTAATGTTAGATATGTAGAACTCTTCTATTGTAGTAAATTGATATTTGATAATGTTTCTAAAAATTATCCTGAATGTTTAATTATAAAATTGTGGCAAATGCGCTTAATTCTAGTACATCAAATATTATTAGATGAGTTAGCTAATTCTTTGTATGAAGAATTTAAAACTCTAGCTGAAATGCTTTTGACTGAAAGGAATACTTTTAATAACAAGGAAATAGAAGTGTTAATCAGTCTTGAAATATCACAAGGATATTTACTATTTCATAGAGTACAGAAATGCGATGAAATATTGCAGAATATATGTGAAAATTACAAAATTGATTTGATTGTGGAAGGTAAAAAATGTTCTATTCATACATTAGTAATTAGTAAAAAAAATTTTTATTAGGTTTGCTTGGTTTAAGAACCAAATTTCAAGTGAAACCAGTTCCGATTCTTTGTTTAAAAGTCGATGGAGCTGAAAATCTTGAAATTAGTGGTGATGAAATTTCAAAATCAACAACCAATTTACCTGTTTTATTAAAGCATGAGGATGATACTCGTTTAGAAAGAATAAAATTTATCAATGAAAAAGACAATGAAGTGATGCAAATGCAAAACGCAGTGCAAGCATTGGTTTTAGCGAAATTGTAAGAGATGTGGAAAATATTTTGTTCTTAATTAATAAAATTTTAAATATTTTTAGGCAACATATATTAAAATCTCAACCAAAAGATCGTTTAGCATCAGAAGAAATAGAACCCTATATTAATTCACTTCTATATCAGAAGAACGGTCCATTGTCAATTCGACTTAAAACGCTTTTGATAAACATAGAACAAGAAAAAAATAGTAAGAGAACTATTGATAGGTCTTTAAAGCAATTAGAAGATATTAGTTCCATCTTGAAAAATAAAGAACGATTTTCACTCAAACAGAGATTTCAAAACTTTTTCTCCTCTAATCTTCCACCCTTTTGGGAAATCAGAAAACTTTATGGGGACGTAATGGTTACTTTAGGGTTAGTTAAAACAGCTTTAGATGTGTACATAGAAATTCATGCGTGGGAGGAAGTAATAAACTGTTACAATCAGCTGGAATTAAAGCATAAAGCTGCAGAAATAATTCAGCAAGAAATAGAAAAACATCCTACAATTAAGTTATACTGCCTTTTAGGAGATGCCACGGATGATCCAAGTTGTTATGAAATAGCGTGGGACATGAGTCAAGGAACAAGTAGTCTGGCGCAAAGGCATTGGGGAAATTATTATTTTGCTAAAAAAGATTATGAAGCTGCCTTACCACATTTAGAGAAAACAGTAGAAATCAATAGCTTGCAAGAAATACAATGGCTTAGGTTGGGCTATGCTGCAATTACTTTGGAAAAGTGGGAACTAGCTGTAAAAGCTTATGTAACATATACCCATTTAGAGCCAAATGGTTTTGAATCATGGAATAATTTGGCGAAAGCATTGATAAAGCTTGGAGATAAAGTGCGGGCTCATAAAGTCTTACAAGAGTCACTGAAGTGTAATTTTGACAATTGGAAAGTTTGGGAAAATTTTATGGCCGTAAGTGTTGACACTGGAAATTTTGAGGATGCTATACGTTCATATGAAAGGTTAAGTGAATTAAAAGATAATTTTGTGGACTATGAAGTTTTAGAAATAATTGTAAAAGCAATTGTCCAAGATTTACCTGACGTTAAAGGTAATCCCAGTTCTAGATTAAAGAAAACTATCGTCAAAATAATTGGACATCAATGTATTAAATACGCTACAAACTGGAAATTATGGAAATTGGCTGCTGTATTGTCTGATAATGCGTTGAATAAAGCACAAAAACTGCAAAAAAGTTTTAGAGTTTATATAGATAATGAAAAGAATTGGACTTTAAAAAAGGAATCAAATATTGAAGGTGTTAAACTTTGTTTAGAATTATGTGAAACAAGTTTAGCTGCGATTAAAGACCATAGTGAAAGTGAAAAATCAAGTATAAATTCACAATTATCATCGGCACGGTTAAGTGGACAGTCTTGTTTAACTTTAATAGAAAAAAGTGATGAAAAATTTGCAGAAAATACCGAAATGATTAAAAAATTACAGGAATTACACGGTAAATTGACAGAAGAGTTAAAACAAAGGGTATAAAAAAAGATGTTTTTTTATTTTTTTTTTTATTCTAAGAAATGTATTTTATAACAAATGAAGATGTATAAATAGCTAACACTTTATTTAAGAGGAAAACATAAAAGAAAAAAAAGATGAATAAATTATATCTATGTTTATCTTTTAAAAAAATTTAATCTTATTAATTTTATTAAAGCTTGATAGAAATCTTTATGGAAAAGGTAACTCACTTTGTCAGCTTCCATTAATTCAGATGTACATATGTATTTATGTAAATAATTTTATTTTGCAATTTTACAATTTTAAAATGCGGCATTTGAAATGAAGATGTCTGCGTCTTTAAATAAATATTTTTAATCTGCTTTCTTTTATTTGCCCAGTGTTACAATGCTTAAAAATTAATTATTTTTAGTAATTAATTACTTATATATTTGTTTAATTACTCAAAGACTAGAGAAATGTAAATGATTGCAAATAATAGCTAAAATTAAATCCAATAAAAGAAACAAGTTCACTTCTCCTGAGATTGTTAATTGGAAAACAATATCATCTTTGAAGAGTATAAAAAAAAGTTTGGGAAAGGGAAAAGTAGGTGTTATTTATTTATTAATTGCATTACACTAAAAATGAATTAGATATTTTCTTTTCAATAAATATTTATTTAGAAAAAATGTTTTTCAGGGTTCAGTATAACTATTAAACATCGAAAATACAAAATACATAATATATAACAAGATTTAGTACTAATCTTAACCAACTCCAAAAACATTTTCTTGATATTACAAAATTTATAATACCTTTTAGTTTAAAATTATAACTTTGTTATAAATTTAGTTACATGATATTTAAAAATTACATTGCAAGGATTTTATTTTATAATCAAATTAAAATACTTATATGTTTGCATACAAAGAGACAAATATGTCTTGAATTTTAAAAAATATTGCAATAAATTAAAGAAATTTTCTTTTATTATTCCCACCCCTTCTTTGTTCTTTGTAAAAATTTCATTATAAATTTTCATGCTTATTTCAATTCATTTAAAGAATCATGGCAACATAAAACAATGAAAAATCAAAAAAGAGTGTCCTTGGGACAATTATATAAGTATGTACATGCAGATCGCAATATAATGAATACAATGGAGGTAAACAATCAGATTGTTGTTATAGAGGAATTCCAACAAATAAAATGGTGATTATTGTGTAAGCGTAAGCATTTCAATATAACCAACGTTAATAGAATGTTTTATGATTTTATCTATCATGATTTTTTTTTTTTTAAAAGAACAGAAAGGTTTCAATTTCAATATTAAATTTTTTCTCTTTGTGTTGCTATTAATTTTTGCCCTCGTTCCGATTATCTTGAACCTGAACAGAAGAACAATAAACTTATTAAGGACATTTTGCATTTTAATATATACATACATATGTATGTAAGGATGCATAATTATATAATGTGTCACTTTATAATAATTAATATAAGTTTTATGTAGCATATGTACATATTTAAATAAATTTTAAAAATGCACCATTAATTTTGAAAATTTATTTTAATATATGCATACATACATACACAATTACATACATTGGAGTATGTAGGTGGTGTCAATAGTTATTGTGCCATGAAAACTTTTTGAATGTATGTATGTATATATCTGTGGGTATTTACATATATGTATAAATGTTAGTTTAAAACAATCAAGGACAAAAGACCGGGACGAGGTTATACACATGAAAATATAAAATTTATTTTTATGTGCTTGAAATTTAGAATTTTTATTTTACTTTGAAATGTTAAAAAAAATATGTCGAGGATTTTCTAATTTTTGTTTTTACTTATTTAAATATAAAATAAAAGAAAACATGAATGTAGAATACTAAAATTGAAAGGACTTAAAAATTTTATTATTGCTAATAATAAGATATTGTGCCGAAAATTTGAAATATATAATTTTATAACTATTACAATATATTTACATATAATATGAAATACAATAAAGGATTTGTGAAAAATAAAATAAAATGGTAACTTCACTTATTTCTGATCCAGCCTTACCATACTCAATGAATCAATTTAAAATACTTCAATAATATACGAGTACATTGTATGTTTTTCTTTTACGAAAAAAATATTAGGTTTACTCATAATTTTATATAATGTTTGTATATTGTTATTTAAAGAACTCTCCGTGATGTACAATCTGTGATTAACTGCTGCAGTTTTTTCATATTGTTAAAATAAAGGAAATGAACAATCATGTTCATGTAGACAAACACATTACGCCAGAATTAATGCAATTTAAATTAGCGTTGTCATAAGAGTTCAATTTGTTGTTGATGTAGTATATTAGAAAAATGTTTGACCCTTAATGTAAGATCTATACAGGATAATTTTTAAGAAATTTAATTTCAGTTTATAATAAAAAAACAAATACTAAAGTCAAATACATTGTTTTAAAATGGGGCGTATCAGAATATAATTTAAAAGCTATTACGAATGAGTTTTTATCATTTAAAACAGAGGCAAAAAAGACGGTACATACTCGTAGTTATTTATTTGTACGTGTTCAATAAAAGTTTATTTTTCTTTTGGTTTTAACAAATATTTTTAACTCTAATTGAATGCAATACTTACATAAATAATAATGAAATGCGAAATGAAATATCAAGGTACTTAAAGGTATGATTTGAAATACGAATTATTCAATTAGGGGCGAAATTACCATTTAAAATCAATTTACAAGTCAAAATTTATTTTTTTAATTGAAATAAGAATAATATAAGAAATTCTTTATTTTATCACAATTTAGAAATAAAAAACATCTTCAAATTATGTATTCATAAATATTTTCTTCTTAATAATATCATTTCATTCCATAATTGTCTAGAATATATTACACATGCCATCCATTCACCATCTAATTTATAAACGCATAAGAAATAAGTAAATTATGTATGAATGTATGTATGTATAAATATATCGGTCTTTCTAAAACCTCATGTAATTATATACACACATATGTACAATAATATAAGATCATGTAAATCTATAAATTTATTATTGGTATATACTGGTATATATATATTATAAGGATAGAAGTAAAAAATAAAATTTTTGCCTTGAACTGACTTTTATTTGAACTTAATGGTGTTCTGTCTTCAACCTTCAACTTTTTTTATAACAAAAATATTAGCACAAACAATATAATAACTTTGAAAGTAATATAAATTTTTTTTTTTTTCATAATATATATAGTAATAAAATATGTATATATAACTACAGTAATATAAGATGTATATGTATGTGTATTGTTCAATGAATGTCATCAAATCGTCCTCCACAAAAATTTTTCTAGTTTATATTTTACACAATATATACGAATTTTATGATTTTTTACATTATTTATTAAAAGGAATAAAATTATAATAACCAAGAAAAATAAGAAAAAAGAAAAATTGTAGGTGAACTAATTTTTTTTTGTCGTTCAACCATGCACTCATTGTCTTTCTTTGTATGTATACAACATGTATATTTATTCGTTTGCCAATGTTTCAAAATTTGAAAATTGACCTAAGTAATCTCGAAGAAACTAGTAAAACTGTATTTTAAAGCACGGTAAATTTTTTTGGAAATTATTTTATTGCATTGTGTAGCAGTACACTCAACTTGAAGCTTAACGTGACCAATAGTGTGTTAAATAACAAAATTTTATATGTCATCAATCTCTACATTGTACCAATATTTTAATTAGATAAGATTAAGGCGTGATAATATAGGATGTAGAGAAATTATTTTATATGGAAAATCTTGCATCTTCTGTATGCCGCCTTAATTGTGTACTAATTATTGCATATTTATCGGATGAAAAAAAAATTTATCAAATATCGTTTAATTTAATTTAAAATACTTATTTAAATATGCTTCTAGAAAGAGGAAACTCACCTTTATTTATTGTTTGATTTATTTTAAAAATTTAGTTGATTTTGAGAGGTGGCAAATTCGCGACGGAGCCCAAGTAGAAAAAATTTGTCTTCAATTGAGATAAATAATTTATCTACGTCTACAATTTGCTAAAATTTTAAATTTCCCTTAGTTAACCTTGCTAAAAAAATGTCATTAAAGATTTGGGAACTATAGATATTTTTCGTCGAAATGGAACTTTATAGTTCGGGAAATATATAACAACTTCCTTTTCTCAGCCAGATTCTTTTAGTTTAAGTGAGTGTCTCAGCAAAAGCCATTTGTTTATCGAGAGTTTTCTATTGGTCTAAAAGGGTATCTGTAAGTGTTCTACACATTTGCGGAGGACATTTTTCCAATTTTCCTGTGAATGTCTTAAAAATTAATTTTAGAACTGTACAAAGATAATAAAATTTATTTAGTTAGCTGCCCTTCAGTATGAATTTTGAATTTTTGTAGTGTTTGCGATATTATTATCAACATCACTTTTTCGATACATTTCTACACGCAAACATTTACAATTTATTTTGAATTATTTTAGATAAATATAATTTGAATTTGAGAATGGGAAAGGACAATACATAGCTTAGTCTTTTAAACTTTTATATCTTAAACGTCTCCACCAACATCTTCGATCGTCATTTTATGTTTTTTTATCACAGAATTTTCATTGTGCCCTTTTTTTTTTCTTTAATTTTTTTGTTACTCTCCTTCTTTATATTATTTTTATTTTAACTTTGTCCTAAAAAGTTCATGGTTTTTATTCATTATCCTAATTTCGTTGTTTGTAAAAATTGGCGTAGGTAGAAGAAAGAAAGAATGAAAAAGCATGAAAATTATTCTAAGAAGAGTTCAACAAATTCAGCAACAATTAATTTATGAGGAGCAAAAGAATATACATATATATGTATAAGTATCTTATATATACTTATAACAACTAAAAAAGAAATGGAAAATAATTTTGAAATTGGAAACATTTACTGAAAAGAAAAACGAAACCAAAAAAAAAATAAACTTTGGAAAATTCTTAGAAGGATTCTTTCTATTTTGATTATATGTATTGCTTATGAGGTACAGTGTGAGTTAAAAGTTGTGTGGGTATATATTTATATTTTAGTATGCCATTAGTTTTCAGCTCAGCTTGTAAAATGTTAAAAAGGTCAAAGAATTTTTAAATATGTGTTGATGA